TTTTTTAAATATATTTTATTGATTTTTTACAGAGAGGAAGGGAGAGAGATAGAGAGTTAGAAACATCGATGAGAGAGAGTCATCGATCAGCTGCCTCTTGCACACCCCTACTGGGGATATGCCCGCAACCAAAGTACATGCCCTTGACCGGAATCGAACCCGGGACCCTTCAGTCCCCAAGCCGATGCTCTATCCATTGAGCCAAACCAGTTTCGGCTACATTTTCAGTCTTAAGTATACATTTGACCCTTAAATAGCATGGGTGTTAGGAGTACTGACACCCCACACAGTGGAAAATCCATAACTTCTGACTCCCCCAAAACTTAACTAATAGCCTGCTATTGACCAGAAGCTTTACCGATAACAGTTGATTAACACATATTTTGTATATGTATTATATAGTGTGTTCTTACAATAAAGTAAGGTAGAGAAAAGAAACATTTTTAGGAAAAAAGAGCCTGGGCCTGTGTGGCTCAGTGGGTTGGGCATCATCCCATGCACTAAAAGGTTGCAGGCTTGATCCCCGGTACGGAGTGTGCAGGAAGCAGCAGATTGATGTTTCTCACATTTATGTTTCTCTTTCTCTCTCTCCCTTTCCTTTCTCTCTAAAAATCAATTTAGCCAAAACTGGTTTGGCTCAGTGGATAGAGCATTGGCCTGTGGACTGAAGGGTCCTAGGTTTGATTCCAGTCAAGGGCATGTACCTTGGTTGCAGGCGTATCTCCAGTGGGGGGTGTGCAAGAGGCAGCTGATCAATGTTTCTAACTTTTTGTCCCTCTCCCTTCCTCTTTGTAAAAAAATCAATAAAATATATTTAATAAATAAAAAATAAAAATCAATTTAAAATATATATTTTTTTAAATCAGCCAAAACAGGTTTGGCTCAATGGATAGAGCGTCGGCTTGAGGACTGAAGGGTCTCGGGTTCGATTTCGGTCAAGGGCATGTACCTTGGTTGCGGGCACATCCCCAGTAGGGGGTGTGCAAGAGGCGGCTGATCGATGACTCTCATCGATGTTTCTCTCTATCTCTCTCCCTTCCTCTCTGTACAAAATCAATAAAATATATTTAAAAAATGCATTTACATATTTACTTTAAAATATCCACATGTAAGTGGATCTGCACAGTTCAAACCCAGTGTTCAGGGGTCCACTGTATATACATGGATTATAGATGGCCGTTATTCATTCAGTGAACACTTCTTCAGCGTCTGTTCTATGCCAGGCACCATGCTGGGCACCGGGGACACCACCACAGACAAATACAAGCCCTAGGGGCATGGGGGCAGACAACAAACAACCAATGCACAAACGTGTGACCTGCCAGGTGGTGGAAAGAAACAAAATAAAATGTGGTGATTTTCATGGAGGGGAAAGGGTGCCGTTTTAGAGAAAGCTTCTCAGAGGAGGTGCTGTCTGAGCAGAGGCCTGAAGGAGGTGGAGCCACAGGCACTCAGGGAAGAGCTCGCCAGGTGGCGGGGTCAAGTGCAAAGAGTTGAGACCAGGCCTGGTGAGTTTCCGGTGTAATCAGAAGACCAGTGAGGCTAGAATGGAATGAGCAAAAGGGAGAGAGGGAGGAGGTGAGGGCAGTTGGGGGGGCGCGGGGGCAGGGCCTTGTGGGCTATAGTTGGGCTTCTCTCGGAATGAGGTGGGAGCCATGGAGGGTTCTGGACAGTGAAAGGATGTGCTCTGACTCAGATGTTTACAGACCCCGCTGGCTGCGTTGGGAGGAACACAGTGCGGGGTAAGACCAGGCTGGGAGACCTGGGTGGAGACACCTACCCTGGTCCGGGCAAAAGATGATCACCCTAGCCGAAACCGGTTTGGCTCAGTGGATAGAGCATCGGCCTGCAGACTGAAAGGTCCCAGGTTCGATTCCGGTCAAGGGCATGTACCTTGGCTGCGGGCACATCCCCGGTAGGGGGTGTGCAAGAGGCAGCTGATCGATGATTCTCTCTCATTGATGTTTCTAACTCTATCTCTCCTCCTCTCTGTAAAAAAAATCAATAAAATATATTTAAGATAAAGATGACCACCCTGTGACTAGGGTTCGGGCCAAGGAGTGGGTGAGACCTGTTTGGATACTGGGTAGATTCTGAAGATTGAGCTGATATTAAGCCGAGAGACAGCCCTGGTTTCTGGACTGAGTGCTCTGGAAGAGAGCTGCCATTTCTGAGTCCAGCGGATTGGGGGCCGGTCGGGAGGGGTCGGCTGTGGCGGTGCTGAGTGTGGGGTGCCCATGAGAACCCCATGTGGGCCACTGGGAGATAGGAGTCTCAGGGGCGTGCGGCTTAGGGGCCAGGCCTTCGCAGGGACGGACATTTGGGAATCATCAGGACGGAGTTGGTTGAAGTCCTGCGTTGACAGGAGTGACCCCAAGAGACCGGGTGTATCTGGGAGGAGAAGAGGCTGCGGGCCGCCTGGGCACCACTCAGACTGCTAGGGGTGGGACAGCTGGCAGGGACCGCAGGAACCACAGGGTTTCTGCAGGCGACCTGGCCATCCAAGGGCATGCTTGTAGCTGTGAGCCTCGCCTGTTTGCTGAAGGCTGTGGGCAGGGGTCAGGTAGGGCCTCCACGGCTGTGGGCCACTAGGAGGAGGTGGCCTTTCCCTAGGAATGCTGGGTAGTGATCAGAGTGGGGCCGGCGGGGTGGGGCTCTGAAGCAGCAGCTGTAATTAATGAGCACCAACTGTATGCGACCACACGGTCCAACCCCATGTTAACTGTACGCCCCACACTGAACGTATATTCCTGCCGACTGCACCCACATGCCAGCTGAACGCAGGTAACGATGCTGTAAAGCAGTGTTTCCCAAACTTTTGACATATGGGTACCCCTTCTATAATTTCCGTGACGCCGAGTACCCCTCGTACTCATGAGAACGTAGAATTAGGCGCAGCTGAGCAGGGTGCAGTGCATATATCCCCACCGAACTCCGGGGCAACGCGCACCCCCACCAAACTCTTCCCGGACCCCTGGGGGGACGCGTGCCACACTCTGGGAAACACCGCACCGTGTTTACTAAATACTTTAGTAACGTATGCAACTGGCCCCAATGGGAGATGCAGTGACAGTGAGGGAGGATACGGTTCACATGGGGGGGGGGGTTGGTGTGGGGAGGACAGCCGGCTGACTTTGCACCCTCTGCCGATGGTATACCTCCCGCTGGCTGAATCCCTCCACCCTTACTGTACACCCCACGCTGACTAAACACCCCTGTGGCAACTGTCTCCCTCCGTGCCAGCGGCACGATTCCACACCGACTGTCAGTGCCTCTGCCTGTGCCCCGTGCAGTATCCCCGGGCCCACGTTGGTCAAAAAACCCTACCCTGACAGCCCAGTACCTCCATTTCTACTGTAAACCCAGGCCAGCTGTATACCTCTGGCAGCCCACGCCTGGTCTTTGACTAGTTTTGGTTTTTTGCTTTAGTCCCATTTCACAGTTGAGGAAACTGAGGCTCAGGGAAGGCAAGGCGTTGGCCTAAGTGTTCTCTGGCTGTGTGTGTGTGTGCGTGTGTGGGGATATTTGAATCCAGGGCCATCCAGTAGATATTGGCTCCACAAGACACAGGGAAACTGGTGTCCAGCCCAGAGCCTGCTCCCGCAGGAATTCAAACAAACCCTGTTCCCCAAAACCGTGGCTCCTGGATTCACGATTGTGAGAGTGTGCAGGGCTGATGGCTCAAGGGTGTAGCTTTGGGAGCCCCCCCTGGGGGCTGCGGGGGACCCCAACGCGCGTTTTCAGAACTTGGCCGTGTGGGTTTTTGTATGGACTCTCCCAATGTTTTTAACTGTTGCCATTTAATTTTTTTTTTTAAGTGCGGCTGAAAATAAAATACGCCCACGTGGTTGGAGAATTTTCAGCTCAAATACTAACAGTTGGGTGTTTGGGGCCAGCCACCGGCCGGCTTTGTGCCTCAGTTTCCATACCTAGAGAATGGGGGGCTCTGGGGTGCCCTTTTGGGGCAGAGAAGTTTGTCCTGCGGTGTGGCCCGGAGAAGGGGGTGGGGTGGGGGGAGGAAGCGGGAGGGAGGGGAAGGGCGGGGGGCCCGGGGCCAGGGTGAAGCGGGGTGCCCGCGGGGGACGGGGCGGGCGGGCTAAATCGGGCGGGCGGGCTAAATCGGGCGGCCGGTGAGTGGCGGGAGCAGCTGCCCCGCCCCGCCCTCCGGCCGGCGCCTGGCGCTCCGCGGGCCGGTCGGACTGGTTCGGGCCCCGCCCGGCTCCGGGCTGGGAGGAGCCGCCAGGCGGTCGGGCCGGGCCTCCCTCGGGACACCCGGCGGCCGGACCCAGAGCGGGGCGCGGGGCGGCGGCGCGGGGATGGGGGGCGAGCGGCAGCATTACTACGGCAAGCACGGTAGGCGGCCGAGGGGGGCGATCTCTGCCTGTAGCGCCCCCGCCCCCCGCAATCACTGCCACACCCGCACCCCAACCTCCCCCGCCCCCCGCAATCACTGCCAGCACCCGCACCCCAACCTTCCCCCCATCCCAATCACTGCCAGCACCCGCACCCCAACCTTCCCCCCATCCCAATCACTGCCAGCACCCGCACCCCAACCTTCCCCCCCCCCGCAGTCACTGCCAGCACCCGCACCCCAACCTTCCCCGCCCCCCGCAATCACTGCCAGCACCCGCACCCCAACCTTCCCCCCCCCGCAGTCACTGCCAGCACCCGCACCCCAACCTTCCCCGAGAGCCTCTCCAGGTTCTCCCCGAGTCCCCTCACCCAAAGGGCCCGTCCTTGCAGCCCTCTCCTCAGTACTCCTGTGGGGTTCCCCCGGGGACCCCCATTCCAGCCCCCTCCCCAGTGGGTGGCCTCCGGCTGGGACACCCAATGGCCAGTCCTCCCCCGCTGGCCGCTCTGCGCGGGGCTTGGGTGTGTCCTCTCCCCCTTGTGGGGGCCGGGGGCCTGCGGGGTCTCTGAGATGTTCCTGGGACCGAGATCCCCCAGGGCGGGCTCCCGGCGCCTTCCTGGCCCACCCAGCGCTGCCTTCTGACTTTCAGGAACGCCGCAGAAGTATGACCCCACCTTCAAAGGACCCATTTACAACCGGTAAGGGCTCTGGGCTCCGGGGGTGGGGGGCGGGGGCAAGGGGGTGTCTGCTCATACTGTCCCCCCTGCTTCTTCACTCTTCACACTCCCGGATCTGTTCTCCAACCAACTGGTGATAAATGTTTTCCGACTTGACGACGAAAGGATTCATTTCCTTAGTATAAAGAGTCCTTACAAATGAACTAAAAAAAAAAAAAAAAACTCAGGCAAAAGACTGGAACAAGAAATACTGTAGACGATGAAGTTATGGAAAAATGTCTCAAACTCAGTGGAAAGTAAAGGGTTATAATTTAAAACAATAACCAAATAGAATTTCCTATCACAGATTAGCAAAGATTAAGTAGATTAACACACGTGTTCCGCATGGAAAGTAATTGTTGCAGTTTTTTTTCTTCAAGGGAATACGGAAATGTGAACATTTTAAGTGTGTATGTTTTTGTTCCAAAGATTAAAATTCTAGGGGGGGAAAAGTTTTTATAAACTTTGCACACATGGGCAAAATTGTACGAAATAGCTGTCTTTTTAAAAATGGCAAAATCAGCCGAAACCAGTTTGGCTCAGTGGATAGAGCGTTGGCCTATGGACTGAAAGGTCCCAGGTTCAATTCCTGTCAAGGGCATGTACATTGGTTGTGGGCACATCCCCAGTAGGGGGTGTGCAAGAGGCAGCTTGTCGATGTTTCTCTCTCATCGATGCTTCTAACTATCCCTCTCTCTTCTTCTCTGTAAAAAAAATCAGTAAATATATTTAAAAAAACATAAAATAAAAATGGCAAAATCTAACCATCTGAATGTCCATCCTTTGCAACTAAGTTAGCTAAGTTACAGTGGATTCTTAGGTTAATATTACACAGCTGTTAAAATGTATGAGTCCCTCCTTGGTTGGTGTGCTCGATGGTTAGAGCATCGGCCCTTACACCATAGGTTCGATTTCACAACAATATTTATCTCTCCCTCTCTCTCTCTCCTCTCTCTCTCTCTCTCTCTTTCTCTCTCTCTCTCTCTCTCTCTCTCCCCTCTCCCTCTCCTTCTTCCCCTCCCCCTCTCCCTCTCCCTCTCCCTCTCTGACTCTATCTCCCCCCTCTCTCCCTTCCACTCTCTATAAAAGATCAGTGGACACAAACACACCCTCCTATGCAGGGACCCGCACCTTCTCTACCACTTCTCACCTGGTAATTCCTTTAGGTTTCCATCTGAAAATCACTTTTTCTGAGGTCTTCGGAACTGTCTTGGAAAATCTGAGCATACACAATCACCAAGAACATTGTAGTTATTTATTACTTTCCCCCTTTATCCATCTGGTCTAAATAGCTGGGATTTTTAGTATTTGTCTGATGGTGTTTCAGACACCAGAGTGCCTTCTACTAATTATGACATCGTCGCTGTTTTTCCATGTCTCCATTTACGTGTTTATATTCCAGCAACCGCCCTGTGATCCCCAAGCAAACAGGAACCTATTCACAAGAGTAGATACAAGAAGACTGTTCACTGTCTTGTTAATAGAGGAGCTGAGGCCTACCCTGTTTCCCCGAAAATAAGACAGTGTCTTATATTAATTTTTTCTCCCAAAGTTGCGCTAGGTCTTATTTTCAGGGGGTGTCTTATCTTTCCATGCGCTAGGTCTTATTTTCGGAGGATGTCTTATTTTCGGGGAAACACCGTATTAAACATTTTAAGAGTTTATTTTAGCAAAAACAAATTCAAACCCGGCTGCACCAAATCAAAGTGGTTAGACATGTTCTACTGAGGGAGCTCAGGAAGGTAGTTTTATAGAGAAGGTGGACACCAACTAAGAAAATTATTGATGGGCTGTGGCTTACAACCTTTGCGTTTTGATTTTGTAAACGTGAGACACTCATAGGCTTTGATTTTTTTGGATTGCTGCCTAAATTGCTAAGGTATTAAGCCTCCTCGGTCTCATAGTCTCCTGGTTTAATTAATGTAATGGTCTTCATAATGCTTTATTCATTCATTCATACATTTCATTCATAAATTAAATTTGAAATTCATATTGATTCTGCCAGGCAAGGTACTAACCGCAATAATTGACGTTGTGGAGTACGCAATAATAAACGTATGAATAAGGTGTGTATGCAGGAAGGATGGGGGCAGGGGTGATGGACATTCATGCCTGAGGTGGTAAAGCTGACTGGCCTTGGTTTTGAAGATATAGTGGGCATTTCCCAGTGAGTCAAAGTGAGGAATAGTAAAATAAATAAATAAATAAATAAATAAATAAATAAATAAATAAATCCTTGATGAGGATTAATATAGCAACAACAACAAAATGTACAAGAGTCCTAAGTGATGATATGGATCCCTCAATATAGTAAGCAAAAATTGCAAGACACAGAACAGGAGGTGTGTTCTGTGTCTTGCAATTTTAAGAAGAAAAAATTTAACATTAATACGTAATAAATAACTCAAAGCACTGACTAACAGGTTACTTATGGGCAGGCAGGGGTATGTGTATGTGTGGAGGGGCAGACTTATTTCTTCATTGTATACATCCCTATTTTGCAGTTTTGATTTTTACCATGTTCATATATTTTTTAAAATTTTTATTTGTTGGCTGAAACTGGTTTGGCTTAGTGGATAGAGTGTCGGCGTGCGGACTCAAGGGTCCCAGGTTCAATTCCAGTCGGGGGCATGTACTTTGGTTGAGGGGACATCCCCAGTAGGGGGGGTGTGCAGGAGGCAGCTAATCGATGTTTCTCTCTCATCGATGTTTCTGACTCTCTATCCCTCTCCCTTCCTCTCTGTAAAAAAATCAATAAAATATATTTAAAGATTTATTTGTTGATTTTTGAGAGAGAGAGAGGGAAAAGAAAACATCAATTTATTGTTCCACCTATTTATACATTCATTGGTTGATTTCATATTTGCCCTGACCACGGGTCAAACCCGCGCCCTTGGCATACAGGGACGACATCCTAACCAACTGAACTTCCTGGCCAAGGCTCATCTATTTTTTTTTTTTTTACTGTAATATTGAACCTTATAAAAATAATTTAAAAAATATTTTATTGATTTTTTTACAGAGAGGAAGAGAGAGGGATAGAGAGTTAGAAACATCGATGAGAGAGAATCATTGATCAGCTGCCTCTTTCACACCCCCTACTGGGGATATGCCCGCAACCAAGGTACATGCCCTTGACCGGAATCGAACCCGGGACCTTTCGGTCCGCAGACCGACACTCTATCCACTGAGCCAAACCAGTTTTGGCTGAACCTTGTAAAAATAATTTAAAATTAGAAAAAAGTCATTCATAGGTAATGCTGGTAAGGATGTGAGGAAATGGGCGCTCTCCGTCGAAGGAGAGCTGCACATTGCTGCAACCCGCTCTGAGGACAGGGTACCGTTACGTATTGACGTTTGAAGCGTACGTGCCCTTTGGTACAGCATCTGCATAGGTCAGGAACGCGTGTCCAAATCACACGTGGGCGCGAGTGTGTGTACGGGGTACCGTGGGTCTGTGATCCTCAGGGCTCCGAGGCGCCCACCCTGACACGGCCTCTCGCTCCCAGGGGCTGCACAGACATCATCTGCTGTGTGTTCCTCCTCCTGGCCATCGTGGGCTACGTGGCTGTGGGGATCATAGGTGAGTGGAGGGAACGGGGCGGAGGGTTCCGCGGTGAGAGGGAAGCCGCCGCCGCCGCCGCCTCTGCGTCAGGAGGGGGCTGATGCTGAGGAGCGGCGGGCAGTGTCTCAGTGTCTCTGATTCCTCCACAGCCTGGACCCATGGAGACCCCCGAAAGGTGATCTACCCCACTGATAGCCGCGGCCAGTTCTGCGGGCAAAAGGGCACAAAAAATGCGTAAGTCCCTATTGCCTGGTGGGTCCGGGGAGGCGGAGGGCCTCGGGAGCTCTGGGGAGAAGGTTCTAGGCTTCTCCTACCCTGTTTCCCCGGAAATAAGACAGTGTCTTATATTAACTTTTGCTCCCAAAGATGTGCTAGGTCTTATTTTCAGGGGATGGCTTATTTTTCCATGAAGAAGAATATGGTACACATTTATTGTTAAATGAAAATAAAGGAAATTTATTACCTGTATATGGTACGGTAGTTGTCAACACAAACCAGACAAACTGTGAATCCTACAGTATCAAGAATTGACTCATTTATTCAATGACAATCATGTCATCATCTTCTGGAACATCATCATAACAATCCAATTCCTGAATTTCCTGGTGAATTTCTTGTGACTCCTAGGGGGGGCCTTATTTTCGGGGGGAAGTCTTATATTTCACTCAGAAGGAAACCTGTAAGTAGGTCTTATTTTTGGAGGATGTCTTATTTTCGGGGAAACACGGTACTTGCAGCCATCCATTAGTCCAGTCAACAAACATTTATAAAACTCCCACCATCTCCAGCCACTGTATTAGGCCTTGTGGACACGGCATTAAATGGGACATTAAGCCGAAACCGGTTTGGCTCAGTGGATAGAGCGTCGGCCTGCGGACTGTAAGGTCCCGGGTTCGATTCTGGTCAGGGGCATGTACGTTGGTTGCGGGCACATCCCCAGAAGGGGGTGTGCAAGAGGCAGCTGATCGATGTTTCTTTCTCATGAATGTTTCTAACTCTATCCCTCTCTTTAAAATATATCAATAAAATAAAATAAAAAAGAATAAGTGGGACATGAAGAGTCTTGTTTTAGGGGAGAGACAGAGAGGAGACGCTATGGGATCTGAGGTCGGTCATGACAGCTGAGGTAACAGGGAGTTCTTTTACTTCACCTGTAACAGTGAGGGTCCCGGCACTCCCGGCTGTGTGACCTAGGGCATGTCTCAACCTCTCTGAACCTTATTTTCCTCATCTCCAAACAGTCCCACTCTAATGAGGCTGTGGTGATGGCTAGATGAGCCTATATGTGTTCGGGGCTTAGAAAGTACTTGACATGAAGCTGCTGCTGCCGCAGTTATTGTTGTTGCTGTCATGAAGACATTTTGCCAGTAGATAGGGTGGTTGAGAAGTCTTGACAGTTTCCATCGCCCTTTCCCAACCCCAGGAACAAACCCTACCTGTTTTATTTCAACATTGTGAAGTGTGCCAGCCCCCTCGTCCTGCTGGAATTCCAGTGTCCCACCCCCCAGGTAACGTGTCCGCTCCCCACCCCCTCCTCTGCCCCCCATTTCCAGCGCCAGGCCCTTGTTCTCCTGTAGTGGTGACTTCTCACCCAGCTTTTTCCTTTGCCCTGGTGAATGGGAGGTGGAACCTCTATTTTGAGTGGGGATCAGGTGTCTGACCCCACCCAACCCTGCCTCCTGCTCCCCCCAGATCTGCGTGGAGAAGTGCCCCAACCGATACCTCACCTATCTGAGTGCTCGCAGCTCCCCGGACTTTGAGTACTACAAGCAGTTCTGTGTGCCTGGCTTCCAGAACAACAAGGTGAGGGGAGCCCAGGCGGGGCCGGGGGAGGGCGCCGGTCTGGGGGATTAACTGTCCCCTCTCTCCACAGGCTGTGGCTGAGGTGCTTCGGGATGGTGACTGCCCCCCTGTCCTCATTCCTAGCACACCGTGTGAGTCCGGGATCCTGGGAGCTCTGGTGCGGCGTGGGGAGGTGTCAGGGGCTCGGCTTGACACTGCTGTCCCGTCCCCTGCTCCATGTAGTGGCCCAACGATGCTTCCCCGCCATCCACGCCCACAAGGGGGTCCTCATGGTGGGCAACGCGACGACCTATGAGGACGGGGACGGCGTCCGGAAAAACATCACTGAGCTGGTCGAGGGCGCCAAGTGAGGACTGCCGGCCTGTCGCACCGGCGTGGCGCCTTCCTGGGTGGGACAGGGCATCCCCTGGGGCTGAGCCAGTCAGGGAGGGGTCTGACGCCACCCTCGTATGCCTTACCCCAGGAAGGCCAACGGGGTCCTGGAGGCTCGGCAGCTGGCCATGCGGATCTTTGAGGATTACACCGTCTCCTGGTACTGGATCGTCATGTAAGATGGGAGGGACGGTGGCCTCTCCTGGGCTGGGCAGTCTGAAGCTGATGAGAGTGTGGGGACCACTCATGCCCCCGTTTCATCCCTCAGAGGCCTGGTCATCGCCATGGTGATGAGCCTCCTGTTCATCGTGCTGCTCCGCTTCCTGGCTGGCATTATGGTCTGGGTGATGATCGTCATGGTGATTCTGGTGCTGGGCTACGGTGCGTCTCCCCCTCCCTGCCTGCTCCCCTCCTCAGAGCCCGCAAAATGCCCGGGCCCTTTGACCTTGGCACTGGCCCATTAAGCATCTTCTAAGCCATCAGATGTCCTCTACCTTGTCCTACACCCGTGGGCTAAATCACAGTCTTCCAGACTGGGCCTGGATCTGTATCTCAGGGCACCAAAAGGCTACAAGCAGACTACTTAGGACAGTGGCTCATGACACATGCTCTGGCACCAGGAAGCTGGGGGTTCAAATGCCGGTTTTGCCAACTCCTCACTCTGTGGCCTCGGGCAAGTGACTCAACCGCCCTGTTCCTCAATTTCTTCTTCTATGAAATGGGGATAATTAATATTTACTAGTTAGGAAGCTTAATGAGAAGAAGGCAGTATGTGGAGGAGATGGAGCTGAGACTTAAGGAACCAGCAGGCCAAACTCAAAACCCAGTGCTTTAGAGCCCGATTATTCTTTTTTATAGAGGCTTTAAGAAAAAAATTTTTTTATTGACTTGAGAGAGAGAGAGAGAAACATTGATGTGAGAGAGGAACATGGATTGGTTGCCTCCCTTACGTTCTGGGACTGAACCCACAAACTGGGCGTGTGCCCTGACCAGGAATCAACTGGTAACTCTTTGGCATATGGGACGATGCTCAACCAACTGAGCCACACTGTGCAAGGCCTGATTATTCATTTACATGCTCCATTTGGAACGATGGCTTTATATGCAACCCAATCCGAGGACACAGATATTAAAATATTCATGTTAATAGTAGTTTCTATCTGGATACTGGAATTTTAGGCAACTAGTTTTTGTTGTTGTTGTTGTTTTTGTTTTGTTTTTTACTTGATCTGTATTTTACAATTTTCTTCTACAAAGAGCTAAGAGGAATGCTAAAAATTCCTAATGCTACCCCATTGGACATTAACACCCATGGCCTCCCGTACTACCCATGAATCATTGTTACAGAGTTGCAAGGGGTCAGGAAAGCCTCAGACATACAGCATCCTGACATCTATTCATTCATTCATTCATTCATTCATTCATTCAACATGTCCTGAGTGTCTTTTGTAGCCTAGGCAGTTTTCTACATGGTGGGATTATAGCATTGAATAAAACAGGACAAATCTTTGCTCCTGAGGAGCTTTTATTCCTGGAGGTATGGAGTAGATGGACGAGAAAAAACAAAACAAAACAGAAAACCCTCTAGGATATCAAAGCAGAGAAGGGGGATAAGAAGTTGGGAGGGCGAGAGGGTAAGATTCTAAAACGGGGAAAGGTTTCTGGAAGGTCTCACGAGAAGATGACGTTTCGGTACAGGAGAATGTGAAAGATCTGTTGGGCAGAGAATGTATTAGAAGCGGGAAGAGCTAGTGCAAGAGCTCTGAGACAGGAGCAAGCGCTGGCAGCCCCTCTCGGCCTCCATTTTTGCTTCCGTTAAATGGGTGGTGGTAGCCGAAACCAGTTTGGCTCAATGGATAGAGCGTCGGCTTGGGGACTGAAGGGTCCCGGGTTCGATTCCGGTCAAGGGCATGTACCTTGGTTGTGGGCACATCCCCGGTAGGGAGTGTGCAAGAGGCAGCTGGTCGATGACTCTCTCTCATCGATGTTTCTAGCTCTCTCTCTCTCCCTTCCTCTCTGTAAAAATCAATAAAAAATATTTAAACGGGTGGTGGTACCTGCTTCGCTCCATTGGTGGAGCGCTTGATGTGCCGTAGCATGTGCCGTAGTATGGCGCTTCCTCTGCGCAGGAATATTTCACTGCTACATGGAGTACGCCCGCCTGCGTGGTGAAGCCGGCTCGGACATCTCCCTGGTGGATCTCGGCTTTCAGACAGATCTCCGCGTGTACCTGCACTTGAGGCAGACCTGGATGGCTTTCAGTGAGTCCCAACCCCCCATTCCTGCCCCCACTTAGGCACGGGAGGGAGTGGGAGCCTAGGCAGCTGGCAGACGTGGCCACCCTCTGCCCCCTACAGTGATAATTCTGAGCATACTTGAGGTTATTATCATCTTGCTGCTCATCTTTCTACGGAAGAGAATTCTCATCGCCATCGCACTCATCAAAGAAGCCAGCAGGTGGGTGTGGGGGGTCAGGCGTGGGGGGTCCCAGGGCTGCTCAGTCCCTCATGCCCGTGTCTCTGCTCCCCTCCAGGGCTGTGGGATACGTGATGTGCTCCCTGCTGTACCCACTGGTCACCTTCTTCCTGCTGTGCCTTTGCATCGCCTACTGGGCCAGCACTGCCGTGTATCCACCGTCAGACCCGATTCCTGATCCTGGCGAAGGCTAGAGACCAAACTTGCCTGGAAGTGACCCGCAGCTTGGGGGCAGGCCCAAAGCTTGGATGGGGGGAGGGACCCTTTCTCACAAGCCCCCTGGGGTTCCTAACCTCAGACCTTAGGTTCCTTAACGAGCCTCCCAGCTTCCTGTCCACTTCCAACGAAGCTGTTTATAAAATCTTCGGCGATGCCAACACCTGCCCATTGAATGGGAAAACCTGCAACCCTGAGGTGGGTATCCGGAGGTGGGGGGGTGGCTCTTTCCCCAGCAGCCCGTGGGGGATCTGAAACTGCTCACCCCAACTTTGGGACCAGTGCTGGATATGGGGGTATGGAGGGGAAGAGATCCCCTCCATACCCCCTCTCTTAACCCAGTAGTGGCCAATTCTTGCCTTCCACAGGCCCCTATCCTGACCCCAGCGATCCTCATGCTGGCCTCTATCACTCCTGAGCTGTCCATGTGGCCACTCCACTGACACACGACCCCACCCTGATCCCCCAAATAGCCTATGCTTCCTCCTTGACACCCACTGAGTTTGTTACATGATCCCTAGTCTTGCTTCTGGAACCCTTTTTATAAGTTCCAGTCCAGGTCCCCCAACTCCTTAGCTCTGATCCCCATGACTCCTGTCCCCACCCTATGGTATAGCTGACCCAGACCCGATGCCCAGAGCCCACCCTCCACCCTGGGTCCCTGGGTTGTGAGCGGGCTCTGCGTCTCTCCCACAGACCTTCCCCTCCGCCAACGAGTCCCGCCTGTGCCCCGGAGCCCACTGCCAGTTCGCCTTCTACGGTGGTGAGTCAGCTTACCACCAGGCCCTGCTGGGCCTGCAGATCTTTAATGCCTTCATGTTCTTCTGGCTGGCCAACTTCGTGCTGGCTCTGGGCCAGGTCACGCTCGCCGGAGCCTTCGCCTCCTACTACTGGGCCCTGCACAAGCCAGATGACCTGCCTGCCTTCCCGCTCTTCTCCTCCTTCAGCCGCGCACTCAGGTGGGACCTCCGATGGGCGGGCTGGGGAGGGGGTGAGGTGGGGCGGAGGAGGCCCGGCCCAGCCACTGACCGTGCCCTTGGCCTGCAGGTACCACACAGGCTCCCTGGCCTTCGGTGCCCTCATTCTGGCCATCGTGCAGATCATCCGAGTGATGCTGGAGTACTTGGATCAGCGCCTGAAAGGTAAGGCCCAAATGCTGTGGGCTCTGGCCTTAAACTGGGGAGGCAGAACTGGGGGAAATCGGAATTGGTTCTTGCTTGAGGGCCAGGCTTGTGTGGGATAGTGATTGGTTTCTGGCTACGGGCAGGTAGAGCTGGAAGATTTGGGTGATTGGTTCCTGCCATGGTACCAAGGATTGGTGTCTGGGAGGCGGGGCCAGAGCAGTGGTATGGGCTGTGATTGGCTCCTGTCTTGGAGGCGGGGCTGAAAAGCTTCAAGATGGGGTCCCTCCTTGGGGGCATGCCCTCCAAGGATCCTGGATGGGGGTATCTCCTCTCCTTGTCTCTTTGAGAAGGTGGGCTCGGGGAGTTCTGCACTGTGCCGGGGTGTGTGATGAGGAGGTGTGTGTCGGGGGCACGGGGATGCATGGGGGTGATGGTGGTGGTGTTCCCTCGCCTCCACATCCCTCCGTTTTCTCCCAGCTGCCGACAACAAGTTTGCCAAGTTCCTCATGACCTGTCTCAAATGCTGCTTCTGGTGCCTGGAGAAGTTCATCAGATTCCTCAATAGGAATGCCTACATCATGGTCAGTGGCCTGGGACCCATCACCAACCCACCAGCTTCTCCTGGGAGGGAGGGGCCCGCCTTCCCGCCAGGGAGCCCTGACCCCTCCCTCCTCCCTCCCTCCAGATCGCCATCTATGGCACCAACTTCTGCACCTCGGCCAAGAACGCCTTCTTCCTGCTGATGAGGAACATCATCAGGTCAGAGGAAACGCCATCTTCTCACCCCTCCCTCCACCCCTGGCCCCCGAGCCCGCGTTCACGCCTGCTCCTCACCTCTCCCTTGCAGAGTGGCTGTCCTGGACAAAGTTACTGACTTCCTCTTCCTGTTGGGCAAACTTCTGATTGTGGGTAGTGTGGGTGAGTGCTGCTCGCCTGGCCTGTCTGGCTGTGGGAGCCTCTTGGGCTGTGGGATCCCCCGTGTCTTCTTCTGTGGGGGAGGGGGGGGTTGGGTCTTCTCTGGGCAGCGGGCTCCTTCCCGTAGCCAAAACCCTCAACCGTCTCGGTTTTCTCCCCCCCGTCCAGGGATCCTGGCTTTCTTCTTCTTCACCCACCGTATCAGGATCATACAAGACACAGCACCGCCCCTCAATTATTACTGGGTCCCTATACTGGTACGGAACTTTGGGGGTGGGGGGGTGTCGGGGGAGAGGGAGGAGTTGACTGGACAGCAGGGTGGGGGTCAGAAGTAGGGGATTGGTTATGTATTCCCACAAACATGAAGCACCTGCTTTGGACCAGCCACAGAGGGAGGAAGGGCGTCCCTCTAGAGAACTGCAGTTTAGAGGCAAATAGACATTAATCAGTAAGTCAGTCGTGATGTGGGTGGATATGAGATTGCAGACTGGTATGTGCCCCAGGGCAGAATTCCAGGGAACTTTTGGAGCCTGTGGTGGAAGCTTTTCTCAGGTCTGGGAGTCCAGGCAGTTTCACTGTGGAAGTGATGTCAGATCTAAAATCTGAAGGACAGCCGAAACTGGTTTGGCTCAGTGGATAGAGCGTTGGCCTGTGGACTGGAAGGTCCCAGGTTCGATTCTAGTCAAGGGCATGTAACTTGGTTGCGGGCACATCCCCGGTAGGGGGTGTACAAGAGGCAGCTGGTCGATGATTCTCTCTCATCGATGTTTCTAACTCTCTATCCCTCTCTCTTCCTCTCTGTAAAAAATCAGTAAAATATATTTTAAAATAAAATAATAAAATAAAATCTGAAGGACAGGCCTAGCTGGTTCGGCCCAGTGGATAGAGCATCAGCTTGCTGACTGAAGGGTCCCAGGTTCGATTCTCTTCAAGGGCACATGCCTGGGTTGCAAGCTCAGTCCCCAGAAGGGGGTGTGTAGGAGGCAGGCCAATCAATGATTCTCATCATTGATATTTCTATCTCTCCCTTCCTCTCAGAAATCAATAAAAATATATTAAAATAAATAAAATCTGAAGAACACGCAGGCACAGCCAGGCCTAGGGAACAAGGACAGAGCCTCTCAGGTGGGACCATCCCAGAGCAGTGAGGAAACCAGTGTGACTGATGTAGAGGAAGTGAAGAGGGGAGGAGGTGGAGGGAGATAAGGGCAGGGAGGTAACAGGTGCTGGAGGGGTTAGGTCATCAGGAAATCTAAGTGCAGGAGCCCGATGACCTAGATTTTTATTTTAGTCCTCTTTGCTAGTTCTGGGATGTGTTACTTTGGGCAAGTTATTTAATCTCTCTATGGTCCCCTCATGTCAGTCAATTAATGTGTATCAGGTACCTACCAGGTGACCTGTGAGTCACCAAATTGCCGGGGATGTGGAGTAATCAGGTCCGGCACAGTCTAGCTGAGATGTGGGCATTAACCCTGTACTGCCCTGCACATGCATAAAATTGCAGCTAGATGAAGATCTCAGAGGAGGGGTGCCCAGTACCAGGAGAGCATAAGACAGGGTCTAGATGTCAGAGGCGACTCCTTGGAGGAGGTGTTACATGAGACTTTGACGTTTGAGCTTAAAGCAGAATAATGAGGAAGCATCATACACTAGACTATGTCAGGGCAGTAGCACGTGCCAAGGCCCTGGGGTCAAAGAAAGCAGCAAATAATGTTCTGTGGATGGCAGGGCTCTGCCCACAGGGTTGAGGGGCTAGGTTATTTTTATTCTAAGGCGGGCTTACAGCATAGGAATGACATGATCCCTGCCTGGGAGGGACAGGGTGGGTGGGAGTTGCCCTGGGCAGGAGCTGGGATGGAAACAGCTCCTGTCCCCTCACCCAGACGGTGATCATCGGCTCCTACCTGATCGCCCACGGCTTCTTCAGCGTCTACGGCATGTGTGTGGACACCTTGTTCCTCTGCTTCTGTGAGTGACCCCTCAGCCCGACTGTCGCTGGGCCCCGACTCCCTTCTCCCTCTGGGCAAGAACACCCTCCTGTGGGGCTACACACGCACCTGCCACTTGCCCCCGGCTTCCCAGGGACTGGCTGCCCTGCACTGGGGCTTGGCACGCCCTCTCCGCTTCCTCCCTGCGCACAGAGCCGCTGCAGCGGGAACGCCCCGCCCTGGGCCCTCCGCTTCCGAGTTTTCAGCTTTGGGGGGGCGGAGGGGGGGGCGGCTGGGATCTGTGGCTGCCACTAACTCTGGTCTCTCCATCTGTCTGTTTTTTGTTTTTCTCTTTTCTCTTCCTCTCTTCCATGCCTGCTGGCTTCCCTGTTCTTCCCTGCCTCCCTTTCCCCCTCCCCTTCCTGACCACCCCCTTTTCCCCTGCCGGTTCCTGGGGGGAGCCCAGGTGAGGACCTGGAAAGGAATGACGGCTCTCAGGAGCGACCCTACTTCATGTCGCCTGAGCTGAGAGACATCCTGTTGAAGGGGAGTGCGGAGGAGGGGAAGCAGGCAGCAGAAGTGGAGGAGTAGAGGAGGAGGGGAGGCCAGCCTCCTGGTTCCGCCCTGTAGACCGGGGGTGCATGCGGGGCTCCCTTGCCTGGGCGTGGGGGACGTGTGAGCCCACCGTAGCTGCTCCCCCCTCTCCGGTCCCCGCGTGTCTTGCTTCCTAACCCTCTGAGGCATCTGTGGCCCCTGCCCGCCCCGTCCCCAGAGGCCCCTGCCCAGGAGCTCCCCTCACGCCACCTGCTCTGGGGTCTCTCTCTGCAGTGGAGGACCTCGAGAGGAATGATGGCTCGGCCGAGAGGCCTTACTTCATGTCTTCCAACCTCAAGAAGCTGTTGAACAAGACCAACAAGAAGCTGGCGGAATCTTAACGGCCCCGCCTTCCCCCCCACACCTCCCTGCAAGGTCTCATGCTGGGTGCTCAGCAGCTGGGTCAGAGCTCCCGGCCCCTTGGGCTGACCGGAAGGCCTGTCACTGCCACCCCGCCATCATCCAGTGACCGCCCGTTTCTGGGGACCCGGGAGATTGGTGGCGTCTCCCCCCTATGCCAAGGGGCAGGCGGGCTTCTCGTGACGGCCCCTCAAGACTGCGCAACGAATCGCGCCGGCCCTCGCTGGCCGGGATGGGAAGGAGTCCGGTGTGTCTGGCCCGCGATGGGGCCCAACCAACCTCTGTGGGCTGCGTCCAGCTTCCCGTTCCCTCTCCTGGGGTGGATGGTGTGTGTGTCTGCGGGAGCCACGGCCACAGGAAGCTCTGGCTCCCGAAGGCTCTCGTTCGCACGGGATCTGCTCCAGCCAGGACTGAGCCCCTTCTCCAGAGCCGAGCAATCGGCACTCAAGCTGCCACGTGTGTTTCTTTACTTTTTTTTTTTAAAACCTGGCTGTGCATTGAAGGGTCTATTAGGTTTTTTTTTTTTTTTTCTGTCTCAACAGCTGAAATGGGGCCACTGAGGAGTGCCTTCTGTTATCTGGTATGGCTGCAGTGGGGTGTGTACCCGTGCCCAGGGGGGTGTCTCCTGGCACGGGGGCAGCAGGGCGCCCTGGTTGTTGATGGGAGATGAGGGAGGGAGACTGTTCTGGGATGGGGGAGGAGACCCCTAAGAGCCGCCTGATGGAAACCTGCTGGCTGGCTGGCTGGCTGGCTGGCGGGCAAAGCGGGGCTGAGTTTCTCCCCTCCCTCTGCCAGTGATTGACACAGCTCTCTTTGTAAGAGAGAAGAGAAACTGAATCCACCCAAGGGACAATTTCAGGGGGAGGGGTGCAGGGCAAATGCCAGACCTCCCTGCCCAGTCATCTCATCTTGAGGATCCTTTTGCCAAATTGGTTGAACTCAGGACCTGGTCTCCTGGTTTTCTCTCCGCCATATATCCTAAGGCCCCCCGACTTCATGTCTCTGTTCATCAGCGCAGTCCCAGGATCCCGGAGGGAGAGATCCCCGCCTGGGTCTCCACATCCTGCGCCTGCCGCCAGTCCTCCCTCCTCCCTCCCCGTTCTGTCCACACATCCCTGCGTGTAACTGCATTCCAACCACTAATAAAGTGCCTATTGTAACAGAGCCCACGCCTGGCGTGTTTGTGGGGGCAGCGGGAGGCTGGTAAGAAGAACCCCAGCCTTTACAGCCCTGGAATTCCCTGAGCTGGGGTGACTATATCCAAGGAAAGGAGGCCAGGAAGCCCTGTCTGCTGGCCCCTGTCTCCGCCTGAATTCCACCGAGCAAGCAGCTCAGGTTTCTCCTGAACAAATGTCCCTTATTAGGTTCCGGTGGTGCCTAGACTCCAGAAGGCGGCCACGGGCTATTCACCTCCCACCCCGCCCTGCTATCCACTTCCCGCTTCCCGCCTCCCCCCGCATCGGTCACATGGCCTGGACGTGTCCTGAGGCCTGCTTTGTCCCCTGGCCCAGCCACCTCAGGTGTCACAGTTTAGCTCATTTGGATCTGGAAAGCTGCCCCCTGCCAGGCTGCCTGGAAGCTCACTGCTGCCCCCTTCTGCCAGCTGTCACAATCACCTCTATGCCAAGAGCCCCACCATGTTAACTGTCTTTCTTACTCATATGCCCTTGCCTGGAATTTTTTCGTAAGTAGCCACTTTTTTTAGTACTTCCTATCTGCATACCATACCTTGCTTCTATTGCTCTCCCTTTAGTAAGTTTATGAAAGCAAAGAGGCTGCCTAGCCAGCAGGAAAGAGGCCAGGTCTCCTGGACCCTAACTTGAACTAATGCTCTCTGGGTTCCTTGTTCACCTCCAGCTTCAAGTATGTTTTTTTTTTTTTACTTTACCGCAGCCTCACCTGCAAAATATTTCCTCACCTCCTGTTAGCCTCACCTCCAAAATATTTCCTAAACTTAGCCATGTCTCCCCATATCTTCAGCCCTCAGCCCCCATTATCCCTCCCCTGGTCTCTAGCTCCTGCCATCATGTTCCCCCGACAGGTGCAAAAGGGGACCTGTGAACAGCTGAAGGAGTTCACACCTCCTCTCTGCTCGAGAGCCATCCATGGCTCCCACCTTATTCAGAGAAAAGCCGGAGTTCTCACTGCAGCCTGTAGGCCCCGCCCCATCACCTTCCTTCCCCTGGCTGGTTCATCCAGCTACTCTGACCTCGGGTCGTGCCTGAAATGCTCCCCACCTGTTTTTTTTTTTCATGGCTAGCTCCTCATCCTTCCATTTTTAGCTTAGGGATCCCCTCCTCCAGGAAGCCTTCCCTGCTCATCTAAAGTTGGCCTCTCTGGATGACGACCACGTCAACCTGTTTTGTGGGAAGCCATCCACTGCAGATACTATCGCGAGAGTGTGCCAAGGAACGCGGAATGCTGTTCTGTTGAGATAGTGGTGGCTCGAAGCAATTTCCTGACCTAATAGCCTCAAAGTAAATGTTTACTGACCCTTACTGATCTTTACTGATCTTTATTGACCTTAGAGATGGTCTGTCAGCTACCTGTTTCCTATGCTTTACTGAGGACAAAGATGTATATCTAAAATGGAATAAAAAGCGGACAAGGCCAGGTTTCTTGGAAAGGTCTCCACCTGCCCGCCCAAGCCTTTAAAATTCATATTTCTTTTTAAAAATATATTTTATTGTTTTTTTTGCAAAGAGGAAGAGAGAGAGATAGAGAGTTAGAAACATCGATGAGAGAGAAACACCGGATCAGCTGCCTCCTGCACACCCCCTACTGAGGATGTGCCGCAACCAAGGTACATGCCCTTGACCGGAATCAAACCTGGGACCTTTCGGTCCACAGGCCTTCGCTCTATCCACTGAGCCAAATCGGTTTTGGCTAAATTCATATTTCTTGTGTAGTATTTTCATTTATGCATCGGCCCCTCGACCCTAGCCATGCAGGTCGAGGCACCGTTTGTTTTCTTCTTGGCACTGGTCACAATCTGCAATTATTTATTTGTGCTTTTACTTAGTACTAAGTATCAGCCTTCCCACCCAGAATGTCAGCTCAAAGGGGTCCCAGGTCGTACCTCTGCTTTCCCACCTTATCCCAGGGCGGGAGAGAGCGCCTGGGACACAGCAGGCACTTGGCATGCAGGCTCGGAATACCTGGATGAAGGTGAGGAGCCTACTTAGCATAGCGCCTGTCCCAGGGGAAGGTGCACAGTATGAATGACTGCTATTACCGTGTTTCCCCGAAAATAAGACCTACTTACAGGTTTCCTTCTGAGTGAAATATAAGGTATTCCCCCGAAAATAAGGCCCCCCCTTAGGCTAAACATGAGAGATTTGGTCCACTGATTCTGAAAGAAATGGAGTCACAAGAAATTCACCAAGAAATTCAGGAATTAGCCTAAACCGGTTTGGCTCAGTGGTAGAATGTCGGTCTGCAGACTGAGAGGTCCCAGGATCGATTCTGGTCAAGGGCATGTACCTGGGTTTCGGGCACATCCCCAGTAGGGGGTGTGCAAGAGGCAGCTGGTCGATGTTTTTCTCTCATCGACGTTTCTAGCTCTCTATCTCACTCCCTTCCTGTCTGTGAAAAATCAATAAAATATATTTTTTAAAAATTCAGGAATTGGATTGTTATGATGATGTTCCAGAAGATGATGACATGTTGTCATTGAATAAATGAGTAAATTCTTGATACTGTAGGATTCACAGTTTGTCTGGTTTGTGTTGACAACTACCGTACCATATACAGGTAATAAATTTCCTTTATTTTCATTTAACAATAAATGTGTACTGTATTCTTCTTCATGGAAAAATAAGACATCCCCTGAAAGTAAGACTTAGCGCATCTTTGGAAGCAAAAATTAATATAAGACACTGTCTTATTTTCGGGGAAACAGGGTAGCATGTAAGTTCCCTGTCTTCCATGCGTGCTCAAAGCCCTCTGGCTGCTGTGTGCAAAGACCATCTGACAGAAAACAGAAGCACCGAGACCAATTAGGAGGCCACTGCACTAGTTCAGACACACACTGATAAAGCTGGACTCGGGGAGTCTTGGTGAGGGTGATAAGAAGCATGCCAGTTTGGGATGTCATTTGAGGAGCTGACCTGACTGGTCAAATGTGAAATCTGAAAGAAAAAAGAGGAGTCAAAGAAACAAGAGTAAGCAGAGCTGTTGGGGAGCAAGCTCCGGCAGAATCCTGCAGAGGGCACCCGTGCCTGATCCTGCAGGGAGCATCAGAGGATGTTATATTTTCGAATTGTCCTACGTTGGTAAGTCCTTGACCGGTCACATCTGATCCTCTGAATCTGTAGCAAACAGCCCAGAGCCCAAGGTAGTGCTCCGAGAGTTGCAGGTGCAGGCCATCAGACAAAAGCACACAAAACCCTGGCAATGATACAAAGAAACAATAAACCAAACCCAGAGGGCCCTGGGCAGCACTGTGTTCTGTACAAGGAGGTTGATATTGGACCCGCTGAAAGTAAGATTTCCAAGGGAAGTTGTCACACGGATGGTTGGGTGTGTGTGCCTGACCTTCAGCGGGGAGTTCCGAGGCCTGAGGCATGCAACCAGGAATGCTCAGTGTTCGGTTGGTCTTTCAAGTCCTCTGGCTTCCTAGGGTCGCCTGGGAAGTGAGTGTAGACCAAGCATGTCAAACGCAAAGGCTCACACGGGCCAAATAAACAAGGTTTCTGTGGGCCACAAAAAAACAAAAGCTTCCATTTTCATAGAAACGTAGGTTTATTTCGGTAGTGACATGCTGAATACAAGGGGCTGAAATGAGTGATCCATCGTTAACATAAAAAATATATTTTATTGATATTTTTACAGAGAGGAAGAGAGAGTGATAGAGAGTTAGAAACATCGATGAGAGAGAAACATCGATCAGCTGCCTCCTACACACCTCCTACTGGGGATGTGCCTGCAACCAAGGCACATGCCCTTGACTGGAATCGAACCTGGGACCCTTGAGTCCGCAGGCCGATGCTCTATCCACTGAGCCAAACCGGTCTCAATAATAGAACATTTTAAGGAAAATTAATATTTTTGCTTGAACATTAACTTACCAGACACTGAATAACTGCACAAATTAATAAGCAATACAAGTAAACCTATTTTTCTTGTTCTCTGAAAGGGAAATATTTTCTGTTGCACACACCGAACAAGTCAGTACAAGGCGAATGATGTGGGCCAAAACCGGTTTGGCTCAGTGGTAGAGCGTCGGTCTGCGGACTGAAAGGTCCCGGGTTCAATTCCGGTCAAGGGCATGTACATTGGTTGCGGGCACATCCCCAGTAGGGGGTGCGCAGGAGGCAGCTGATCGATGTTTCTCTCTCATCGATGTTTCTAACTCTCTATCTCTCTCCCTTCCTCTCTGTACAAAATCAATAAAATATATTAAAAAAAAAAAAAAAAAAAAAAAAAAAAAAGACGAATGATGTGGCAATTGGCTGCTAATATATTCCCCGCTATTATTAGTGGAGAGAAATAGTGCACCTGCATGTAAAGTACGTAAGGGAAATGAATGCAACATGATTATAGTAATCACTCATTAGCAAACGTTGTAGTTCGTTAATAATAGTTAGTAGCCCTGCACAGGAATCCCTGCACCTCAGGTCACTGCCGCCTCCTGTAGCACCCCCGCCCCCTCCTCATCTCTGCTGCCCTGTCCTGTCCTGCAGCTCTCCTCCGCTGCCTGCTGCCCGCGTGTAGTTCACTGCCCCACTCTCCTACAGATCCCTGATCCAGTCATTATGTGGTCGGTCATTACGCCTCATGGTGTAATGGATAATTAGCATATTCTTCTCTTATTATATAGGATTATGTATAACAGGATATTATAAAAATGAGGTTACAAAATTTTTATTAAAATGTTTCTTACAGCCAGGACCAGTTTGGCTCAATGGATTGAGGGTCGGCTTGGGGACTGAAGGGTCCCGGGTTCGATTCCGGTCAAGGGCATGTACCTTGGTTGCGGGCATATCCCCAGTGGGGGGTGTGCAAGAGGCAGCTGATCGATGACTCTCTCATCGATGTTTCTAACTCTCTATCTCTCCCTTCCTCTCTGTACAAAAATCAATAAAATATATTTAAAAAAAATGTTTCTTACATACTGTTATATTGGCTGGGCTGCAAAAATATCTGTTGTGGGTTATATGCAGCCTGCGGGCCCCGAGTTTGACATGCTTGGTGTAGACAGAAGTGAAGTCTGTGCCCTGGGGAGAGAAGAAGAAAAAGTGGATGCAGGGGAGAACCAGGGAGGGGCATCTGGGGCCAAGTGGAAGGCAGGAAAGATGGGCACAGGTGCTCCTGGCTACGGTGGCAGAATAATGTGGACCCCGGCACTGCTTTGTTGGGAAATAGGAAGGAAGGCCGTCAGGAGTGTGGAGTGTAGGGAGATGTTGGGCTGTGAAGATGATGACTATAAGGTGGTTTAGGCCCCACACAGGCCCAATGATAGCATCACCACGTCTGACTCTATGTGTATTTCCCCCCCACAACATCCTGTAGCACAAATGATGTGGCCACAACTTAGTTTCACTTTCACTCCATTTTTTTTATTTTAATTTTTAAAATTGTTATAAAATACACTTACACACACCGTAAAAAACATTTTTTTTTTTTTACAAGACAGATCCTGCCGCAGGCTTATTTGTACAAACAGCACAGGACGGCACCAGCGCCACAGACGGTCCTTCCATCCTCACGTGGGCAGACAGAGGCCTCTACTGTGGAGCCTCCGTGGAGAGGAGCCTCCGTGGGGGCCTGAGCCGCTTTGGGAGCCCGAGCTCCAGCTGCACCTGCAGCCTGGGGCTTGGTTTCCGCCTTGGCCTTGGCCTTTGGCCAACAGTCTGAGCCCCTTGGCAATGTAGGCACGAGCTAGTTTCCCAAGCTTGGAGTGAGTGATGTAGGCAAGTCGACTGAGTTTGCAACTGCAACTCTTTGGGATATTGGGCCTGGGCTCCTTGGGCTTGACCAGGGCCTTGATGGCCTCAGTGCAGGTGCCCATGGCCTTGGCGTTGTTCGCTTGCATCTTCTTCAGGCCCTTCTTGTTGTGCTTCTTGGCAAAGCACATGTTCCTTAGGAATTTGGGGTCTACTCCCTTAAGAGATTCGTATCTTTGTGACCAGGGTTTCTTGATGCCGTTTCTGTGCCATTTTTGGAGTAGGCCATCTCTGCACGGAAGCCTGTGGCTGCCGAAGCACCAAGGACCGGAAGAGAAAGGCCATAACAATTTTTTTCTTTCTTTTTTCACCTTAACCATTTTTTTTTAAAATGTTTTCATTGATTTTTTTAGAGGCAGAAGGGAGATATAGAAACATTAAGAATGAAAATCATTGATAGGCTGCCTCCTGCCCACCCCTACTGAGGATCAAACAGGAAAAATAGGGTATGTGCCCTGACCAGGAATAGGACCATGACCTCCTGGTTTATGAGTCTAGATGCAACCACTGAGCCACACTGGCTAAGCTCACCTTAACTGTTTTTGAGTGTACAGTTCAGTGGCATTAAGTACATTCACATTGTTGTGCAATCATCACCACCATCCAGTTCCAGGATTCTTTTAATGTCCCCCAACTAAAACTATGTCCCATTAAACAACTCCTCATTCCCCATCCCCCTGGCGCCCATCATTCTTTCTATCTCTGTGAATTTGACTCCTCTAGGGACCTCCTATAAATGTAATCACCCAGTAGTTGTCCTTTTGTGACTGGCTTATTTTACTGAGCATATTGCGTTCAAGGTTCATTCATGTTCTAGCATGTATCAGAATTTCCTTCCTTTTTAAAAAATTTTTTGAAATATTTATAAGGTTACAACTGTCTTTGGAATTAATCAGTGCATGAAGCAAGTTTTTTTTTCATTCACATTCACACTAATTACTACTGTAAATAAGATATTTATAATTTCTCCAGTTTCGATCTAAACATTACATTTGTGTTGACAAGATTCAGGCTCTAGAACAAGCGATCATCATCCGGCCCTAGACAAGCGATCTTGGCTCTCTGCCTTCACCCACATCTCACAGAGATAGTACCTTTTTAAACCTACTTTATAGGCAAATAGGCATAGAATTTATATGAAAACATTTTGCTAAAGTTGCTAAACAAACAAGGTAAAATATGTAGCATTTTATCAGATGTTTTCTAACCTTTTTTAAAAAAATATATATATTTTATTCATTTTGTACAGAGAGGAAGGGAGAGAGATACAGAGTTAGAAACATTGATGAGAGAGTCATCAATCAGCTGCCTCCTGCACACCCCCTACTGGGGATATGTCTGCAACCAAGGTACATGCCCTTGACCGGAATCGAACCCAGGACCCTTCAGTCCCCAAGCCGACGCTCTATCCATTGAGCCAAACCGGTTTCGGCGTTTTCTAACCTTTGATTTGCTTTTTATAGTTTGAACAAAATAAAAATTGTATCCTTTTAGACTATAAAATTAAGTAGTTATACGAGGTGAGTTAAAGTAGTAAAGCGGGTCATCCTAGGAAACCCATTCATCTATGCTCTCGTTTAATTAAGAAATAATAATTATGGCCAAAGCCAGTTTTGCTCAGTGGATAGAGCGTTGGTCTGCGCCTGAGGGGTCCTGGGTTCGATTCCAGTCAAGGGCATGTGCATTGGTTGCGGGCACATCCCCGATCGGGGGTGTGCAGAAGGCGGCTGGTTGATGCTTCTCTCTTATCGATGTTTCTAACTCTCTATCCCTCTCTCTTTGTCTCTGTAAACAATCAATAAAATATTAAAAAAAAAAAAAAAAGAAAGAAAAGAAAAGAAAGAAATACACCCTGTGAGTAAGGAAAGCAGAAGACAGCTCTCTATGAACTAGGAAGCAGACTCTCATCAGACACTGGATCTGCCAGTGCCTTGATTTTGGACCTCCCAGGCTCCAGAATGTTGAAAAATAAATTTATGTTGTTTATAAGCCAAAAAAATAAATAAAATAATAAAAAAAGAAAGAATAATTATGAAAATAGGTAACATTTTGTGAAAATATTCCCATGTATTCTATCTTAGGAGTTATCTCCCATATCGATGAATTGTCTGGCATCAGTCATGGCATCTGGTACTTGAACAGTCATTTTGTCCATAGACTTTGTCAGGAGGACTTGGCAGCCCCGACAGGATTTGCTGTCATTCCCATGGCCCACTGGCTCAGCGGCCGCCCAGCCCGCGCCCCGCTCCCCGGAGGCCGCCAGCTGCCACGCGGGCTCAGGCAGCAAGCGCGAGGCGGTGCCCAGTGCAGGAGGGAGCTGCAGGCTGGGGCGGCAGAGGCAGCTCAGTCGCCGGCTCCTCCTTCTGGTGCCCTATAAACCTGTCCTATTTCCTTCCTCTTTAAGGCTAAATAATACTCTACTGTATTCATTCATCCATTGGTGGACACTTGGCTATTATGAATAATACTATGAACATGGGTGTGCAAATATCTCTTCCAGCCCCTGCTCTCAATTGCTAGACCATGTGGTAATTCTAAGGTTTAATTTTTTGAGGAAACACAATACTGTTTTCTAGCTCCATCTTTTGGCTCAGTTTTCTTCTGGATTGGTTTTGTTCTCTGCCAAGTTCTTTCATTAAGGTACACACTCCCAATCCTTTAACCACACCTTATATTTCCTTGGCTTCAACATCAGAGAAATGAAGGCTTCTCTTGCTTCAAAGTCTCAAGACCTGGTGATCACTGGCTCCGGCTGGGCAATTTTGTCACTTACTACCGTGTTTCCCCGAAAATAAGACCTAGTGCATGGAAAGATAAGACATCCTCTGAAAATAAGACCTAGCGCAACTTTGGGAGAAAAATTAATATAAGACATTGTCTTATTTTTGGGGAAACAGGGTAGTAAACTAATTACTGTGGCTAGATCATAGGCCTAGGCTTTTTTTTTTTTTCTTTTAATGTGTTTGGTTTGTTGTTTTTTTAGTTACTTTTGAGAGAGAGAGAGAAAGGGAGAGAGACCGAAATATTGATGAGAGAGAAACATCAAGTGGCAGCCTCCTGCACATTCCCTCCTGAGGATTGACCCCGCAACTTGAGCTTCAAACCAGTGATCTCTTGGTTCCTGGGTTGATGCTCAACCACTGAGTCACACCAGCTGGGCTCATGGGCCTAATTTTTAAAAAATATATTTTTATTGATTTTTTACAGAGAGGAAGAGAGAGTTAGAAACATCGATGAGAGAAAATCATTGATCAGCTGATTTTGGCTCATGGGCCTAATTTTGGAGTCAAGCAATAGGAATCTGACAATGGAAATAGGCAGAGTGGTTCCCCATAGCACTGATGTTAATGCATGTCCACTCTGAGACAGTGGGAAGGCAGCTGGTATGGTTCAAAAGCTTTCAAGGAAAGTTCTTGGGTATAATCAGGGGAGTTGGCAGGTGAAATCTATGAAGATTGTAAGAAATAAGGAGAGCCCTAGCTGGTTTGGCTCAGTGGATAGAGCATCAGCCTGTGGCATGAAAGATCCCAGGTTTGAACCAGCTAAGGGCACATACCTGGGTTGCAGGCTTGATTCCCGGGGAGGGGGGAAGGGCGCGCAGAGGGCATGTGCAAGAGGCAGCTGATCAATGATTCTTTTTCATCATTGATGTTTCTCTTTTCCCCTCTCCCCTCCTCACTGAAATCAATAAAAATAAAAATATATATATAAAAAAGGTGAGCTCCCAGATGCAGAGGTCCTGGTAGAACACAAAACACATTTGGGAGCCAGTGAGCAAGGCAAATATCTTTACTTCTATGGAGAAGGGTGCGCACACACATGGCCTGGAAGCACTCGCACACCAAGCAGGTGTTCTGCTCTGCTCTAGAATCCTGTTGCCCATGACCTGTACCTCACTTTTGATAGGAGCTCAGGTGCACCAATTTTTCCTGATTTGCTTATTCAAAGGGAGAGGCTGTCCTTTGCCGTTCCAAGATGGCAGCCCCCAGGGGAGCTGCAAGCCATGCAGCCACACGGTCCAAATGGCGGCTGTCTAAAATGTCCTTTGACAGAGAAAATGTCTTGTTTATTCTCACAAAATGAGGAAGATAAATGGATGATGTTCATGAGGATATTAATTAAAGTCCTGAGGATGGCCTGACCAATGTGGCTCAATGGTTGAGCTTCGACCTGGAAACTAGGAGGTCATGATTCGACTGCCAATCAGGGCACATGCCCAGGTTGTGGGCTTAATCCCTTGTAGGGGGCATGCAAGAGACAGCCAATCAATGATTCTCTTTCATCATTGATGTTTCTTTGTCTCCCTCTCTGAAATCAATAAAAATATACACTGAGTGGCCAAGATTATTATGATCTCTGAATGCATAACAATCTGGCCACTCAGTGCATTTTATGTATAAGGAAAAGCTTGCAAATCTTGATATGTCAAGGGACCAGGAGATAGTGGCCCCCAACCTCTGGCTAGTAATCCTCTGCTTCTAACTACCCACGATGCAGTTCTTATACATGAAAAAACCTTATTTTAAAATCACAACTCTGTGGTCACTTTACACTGAGTGGCCAGAGTATTGTGTGTTCAGAGATCATAATAATCTAGCCACTCAGTGTATTTTTTTAAAAAGCCCTGGGGATTGCAGAACCTGTTTAGAGGAAGTGCAAGAGGATGCACTAGAAGTTGGGGACAGACCTGGTGTGATGGGGAGAACGGGGTGTAGCCAGATGACAGGGGGTGTCAGTTATGGTAAGGAAATAAGAGAATGGTTGTGCATACAGAAATTGTTAACTATGTTGTAATGGAAAGGCAAAGGTAGGAGACTGGATTGGGGTGGAAATACAGGGGCAAGAGAAGGAAGATGATTTCTGGGGTCGGTAACCAAGTACCGTGTTTCCCTGAAAATAAGACATCCTCCGAAAATAAGACCTACTTACAGGTTTCCTTCTGAGTGAAATATAAGGGATCCCCCCTTGAAAATAAAGCCCCCCCTAGGCTCTGTCTCAGAATGCTATTGCTAAACATGAGAGATTTGGCCCACTGATTCTGAAAGAAATGGAGTCACAAGAAATTCACCAGGAAATTCAGGAATTGGATTGTTATGATGATGTTCCAGAAGATGAAGACATGATTGTCATT